CCAGCTGAAGTTTGACAGAGTGATATTACCGGGTTTAACTAGAGCCATTAAGAGGTTCCTCATTATCCCACACCACGGCCACCAAAGTTATCACATGAGCTGTAATGCAAGAGAATTTTCATTCCATCAACAAGAGAGGGAGCCAGTCTATCTTTGTCCAAAGGAAATGAGCAGCTCGGCATGAAGCTTGTGAGGAATTGAGTGTACAACATTCCAGTAACATCCCCTGCAGGATTTCCTCCACGCTTTTGTGGGCTAAGCAGAGGCGACTGCATTGGAGCAATCTGCCTGTGTACCTGGCTCGCAAGAACACTCGCTCAAGGAGCAACCCAAAGGCCAATTGACGACAAAGGATGCTCATAGAGACCTGCATTCCATAGGGCTTAGTAGTAAGCCCCAAAGAAATCAAAGTCTAGGCCATTCTCCTAGTGTTCAGCAATCTCATTTATTATTTCTCTACAAAGATCCACCACTCAATCTTGTTGGTATCGCCTGTGCCTGATTCATATTCTCCCGCTCGGTAAGGTGGCCTGGTTTGAAATGGGCTTCTCTTCCTCCTGCTGGCGCATGCTTTGCATCCTCACAATGACAGCCAGTAAACCGCAAGACCCTCTCCACCGTACTCTCCCCACCCTACTTACTCTTCTTGGAATTACTTGTTCATCAAGTGTTCTGTTGGGGAGCCTTTTCCTCTTGGATTAATACTGAGAGAAGGGATCAAGTTTTCCATTTCCTTTGCACTTCTTGTAGCAGTCTCATATGGGAGACACCCAGGTTGGATATACTGATTGCTTTAGAGTTGGAGTGAGATGGCCCAGCAACACTCCCCACCATGCACCTCCCCCTCCTTCAGACGTTCCTGGCATCTTATAACTTGCCCAAAGCCGGATTTATTGCTCCAGCTGTAAAGTGTATCTTCTCTAAGCCTCACTTAAAAGCTACCACTTGGCAGAAGATCAAGTTAGAAGTGCAGGATAGCAGGTGACGGTGAGGACAGGGAGGGATGGGGCGGGCAGGGTGGAGCAAATAATTGAAGCTCCGAGTTACCAGCTCAATATTTAACCTAACTGGTAATTTGCTGTGACAATTATGCCATGAATGGAACACTACTACTATGCAAGAATGTCGCTCTCTAATTAAGAGGGCTCTACTTTTCCTAGTCACCCACACTTTAATAACACACAAAATGAGTCTTGGCTCTGGGAGCTAAAGGTTCCAGCAGGAGCACATGCGGCACAAGGCTGTGCACATAGGCTGTGACGCTGCTGCCCAGTTAAGCCTGCTAACACCTTCAATTCACCCTCAGATAGAGCCCGGAGAGCACGGCTCAGGCTCTCACGCCATGAGCCCTATTTGACTGACAGGCATCTTCCCGGAAAGCCTGTTCGTGCCTACACTGCAAATGGATCTATCTGCTTCTCCACAGCCGGGCTTTCAACCAAGAAGGCTTGGCATAGATCTGATCCTTAAAAGAGTAACTTTAATAAGGATTTCCACAAAAGTCCACAGGAACAAACCTCCTAGGAGTGTGATAGGAAAGGGAACACAGGCCAACACCCTAACTGCTGGTATAACTCTGATGAGACAAAAGAATACTAATATTTTGGCTATAAAGGAGGATGCTAGCATCCTTTAAGTTCATGGGAGCCTTGAAACATGGCTACACTGGGCAAGCCGATGCTTTTTTCTTTTCCTAATTAGCGGTTCATTTATGGAAGGCTTGCTGCCTGGAGAGCCCATTAGAAGAGCTTGTTTGTGAAGATGTACCTTATAAAACTATTTAGATTTTAAATAAATAGTGCAGGAGGCCAGTGGTAGAAGTTGTGATGGGAGTTGTGATGGCAGCAACTGCACCCGCAGAAGGGGAGCCCGGCACTCCAAGCCTGTGTGCAGGGGAGATCAGCTTCCCTAGGCAAGTCTATGAGTTTCTAAAATTTTAGGCCAATAAAAGTGACCTCTGCACAGCTGACTGAAGATATAAATAAATCTCAACATGAGCAGCAGTGTCAATGGTGAAGAGATGAGAGTCCAGTCGGAGTTTCATTTTTTAAAGAGGATTCTGGATCCACCTCAGGGCAGGGCATTCATGAGCACAGAGCCACGGCTCCCTGCTGTGAGCACTCCTGTTTTCTCAGGCACCAGCCCATCGGTTACCTAACCACTGAAAGGAAGCTGCACCACACACAAGTTAAATATAGGCTGGGTTATCTGCATTTTACAAGCTCCAAGCAAGCTGTCTGAAGAAGCTGTCATTTTTAATGATGGCACAAACTTCCAATTACCAACTGGGTAATCCACTAGGGAGCAAGTAGTTTTGGAAGAACAGCTCACTATTATTAAAAGTTTACACAATCACTTTTGAGTTGACTATAAATATTTCACACGAGGTGGGTGGGGTTAGGTTTTTTGAGTAGTTCACTGGAGGCTGCAACAAATACGGTGTTTTCTTGAGATTTAGACATTCTGAGATTTATCAACAGCTGAAAAGTAGCAAGGGTTTCAAGGCAACATCTCTGAAGAGCCTGGCAATGCCAAAAGGCTGTGAAATGGCCAGGTGGTTGGATGATTCCAAGTCTCAAATATACTCCCAAAGCCAGCACCAAGACACAGCTCAAATGGCAAGTCATCAAGGGCCTACGGACAGTTAATAAGGATCACTTAGGCTACCCATGGACAAGCACTCCTTGGGGACCACATACCTTCAACACCTTCTGTCCAACATGGCATCTACATAGCTTCCTGTCGATAACTAGTGCAGAGTGACTTAGGTGTGACATATGTTTTTCCATGTAGACAGATGACCTGTGACCCAAGTCAAGCCTGCAGCTTTAGTTTTAACCCTTTGCCTCCTCCCTGATTGAAGTCCTTATTGATGACCCCAGTCTCCAGTGACCTGGACATCTACTGAATTTGGACTGTACTGTGATGACCACTGAGTCCTGCTCCAAAATGGCCAGAGTTCTTGGGGACAAGGTGTGGCGATACATTATTTATGGTTTATTAGAGGATTCAGAAAGCAGTCAGCCTCAAGCTACAGAGATCAGGCAGCGGTGGTACACACCTTTAATCCCAGGACTCGGGAGAAAGGAATTTTGATTTAGCTGGGTGTGGTGTTGCACACCTGCAATCCTTCCTCACTCTGGGGAAGCAGAGGCAGGATGCCAGTTTGAGGCCAGGCAAGGCTACAAAGCAAGAAGCTGTCTCAAAACCAAAACCAGGTATCTTGATCTAAATTGTCTCAGAGGGTACGTAGCTTAGCAGATGTATGGCAGGTGGGAGGCCTTGGGTTTGATCCCTAGGACCCAAAAAAACAGCTGACAGGAGGCAAAAGGAGGTAAAGGAAGACATGACACCATCCTTTGCCCCATTACTTAATCAGAACCGCCACCACAAATATAACTTGGAGACTTAAGAATCACTAATAGCTTAAAAAAAAAAAAAGAATCACTAATAGCTTCAGAGAAGACAATGAGGCTGGTTTATAAAGCAGGTCAAATGTGTTCTTGGGAGGCCACTTCTCCCACAAAGACAGAAAATCCAGGTTAAGGCGTCTGTGGTTGCAACCTATGTTTGGGCGCTAAGTAGGATGAAATCATGGAGGGCTCCAATGCCTCCTTCCACATTCTCCCTGCATTAGTTTATCTGCTTGCTTCCAAGAGTCTGCTCAAACTGCCCGCCAGCCTGTGATGGGGCATAGGCTTAGACAGACTTACTGTTGAACCAGGGCAACGGAGAACTCATGGAGCAAGAAGCAACTCAACGTACTATCAGGGCTTCAAAGCACTGCTCAGGCCCACCGGAATCCAGGCTTATGCTAACGAGCCAAAAAGTAAGAGCAGCTGGCAAGAGTGATTCAGCCCCATAAATTTACACATCCATACAGCCAAACCCACTTGAAGCAATGCAGATCCACTTTTATTGAAATAGAAAAAACAAAAAACAAACCTATTCTGGAGTGCTAAGAGTGTTCCAGAAGGACTTATGAGATAACCTCATGTTGTCTTTAATGTGGTGTTAGGGAGAACTTTACGTGTGCCTACTAGGCTCTACCACCAAGCCACATTCACAACCCCTATTTATTCACATATCTGTGTGGTGTTATGAATAAGGAATGCCCTGTAAAACCTCTTGTATCTGCACACTTTGTACCTGCTTGGTGGCACTGTTCGTAGGGTGGAGCCTTGCAGGAGGAAGTATGTCACTGGGTGTGGGCTTTGAGAGTTTGAGCTTTGCTCTACCTAGTTCTCTGCTTCCTGTGTGGAGCTAAGATCTCTTAGCTTCCTGCTCCTGCTGCCATGTTTTCCCTGCCATGATGGACATCTAGGCCTCTAGAACTGTAAGTTAAAACAAACTTGCACAGAAGTTGCTTTTGGTCATGGTGTTTTATCACAGCAATGGGAAATGTAACATAAATAGAAAGTGGTGGCCCACTAAACAAGTGGTTATTGCTGGTTGTTGGATTACAGGTGACTTTGGTCATTTTCTTTTCTTTTCCTTCCTTTCTCTTAGAGGAAACAATTACTTCCAATCATGCTTTATAAAACCAGCAGCTTGTAAGGGCTACTGCCTACAGAGTGGATTAAGTCTAAGGTTACCAAAACATGTTATGTAGGAAGAAAGAAAAAAGGAAAAGGAGACACATGCACAAGCCTGTCTTTTGAGACGAGGAAACAATCAATCTACTAGGGAAAGGACAGTTCTTCTAATAAGTACAAAGGAGGGAGAGGGACCGGTTTCTTTTTCTATAAATAAATCCTTGGCAGGCGGATCACCACAGAAACACGAGTCAATATAAACCTTTAGATATGGGGCTGCCAAACTTCACTTTTCGACAGTGTATTAATTATGTAGTCAATAGCCATGGGGTTCATTAGTGTATAAAATACCACGATCAATATTATCTATACTTTTCGAAGACAGACCACTCAGGAAAAAAAAATGTTGGGGGAAGAAGGGGGAACACTTTGACCCTGCAGTTCAAAAAAGTCAGAACAGCACACTAGAGATTAGCAAGGCTTTAATGGAAGGCATAAAACACTGGAAATATGGACAGAAATCAGATCAGTTCCTTCCCTTTTCTGCCTCTTTTACAATGAGGCTGGAGGGAATTCAGGAACCATTTAAAATAAAGGCAAAATGATTAGATGCCTCCCCCCGCAACTGCTTAACGCTGGTGTCATGGTGGATGCAAAATAAGCATTGATCTCTAACTAATAGATGAAAATGAGAACACGAACAGCCCTTCGGATAAACTGTGTCCAAGAGAATTCCAGGAACTGTGGGCCAGAATCTGCTCAGGCAGTCCTCCAGGACCTGGGTCTCTCACAGGCATTAACAGTGGGACCCCCTTCTGAGGCTGCTCAGCTGGGTGAGCTGAGTTTTTAGTATGGGAATCTTTTAAAACATTATCCTATGATGGAGCCCATCCCTCGCACTCCCCGTAGAGTTCTGTGCTCTTCATGTTAGCTGTGCAGGTGTGTTACATTTGTTGAAGTGGCCGGTGAGAAGGTTCTGGGACTGGTTCGGAGACCTCAGGACATATTGCTGCTGACCAGCCCTCCTGCACCGGGAGAGGAGGAAATGCTGTTGAGTGAGCGATATAAAAAGCTGGTTACTGGACTGATAGCTAGATCACCATCTCTAACCAGCAATTTGTCAATCTCCAACAGTGCCGAAGACTGTGATTTTCCAGTCAATGCTCTATAAGCAAGGTCAGACAGAAAGCCTCCATAGAAATTGTCAAGCTTCAGCCAGAGAATCAAGTGCAACTGAATTCCTGTCTCCTGAGATTAGGGAAAGGTAAGGAAGGCTGTGTCTCTGCAATCAAAGTCTGTCTGTCTGTCCTCAGTAAGGCCAGCCATTTGCCTAGGGCTGTAATATCAGCAGCTGGGAGACAGAAGCAGGAGGATCACTGCTTCAAGGTCAGCCTGGGTTGTACAATGAGCTTGAAGCTACCCATTTTAAGACTCTGCCCCAACAATACAAGACAAGCCAGGGGTGGCGGCAGAAGCCTGTATTTCTAGTGTATGAGAGACCAAGGAAGCCTGAGACCTGCTTCAGCTACATAGGAGGAATCCTGAGACCTGCCTTAGGGAAGACTATATCTCAAAAACAGGCCAGCTAGGGCAAAAACAGACAGGTATGCTGGTCAATATTGTCAGTCTAAACCCATAGGACTGGTCTGTGAGGGCCTCTCCAGAGAGATTTAACTGAGGAAAGACCCACCCTGAGTACGGGTGGCGCTCAGGGCCCGGGGATCCAGACTGAGTGAAAAAGAAAGAGGAAAGATAAGAAAGCGAGCATGCGTGCACGGGCGCGCGCGCGCACGCACACACACACAGAGACAGACAGACAGAGAGGCTGAAAGCGAGTTGAGCACTAGAACTTGCATCTTGCTGCTTCCTGACAACAGATGTCATGTGACCAGCTGCCTCACACTCCAGTTGCACAGCCAGAGCTGCTCATGTGCCCCTCCCCACCATGATAGACGGCACCCTCAAACTGTGAGCCATAAGAAGCCATTCCTTGGGCTGGCGAGATGGCTCAAAGGTTAGGAGCACTGACTACTCTTCCAGAGGTCCTGAGTTCAATTCCCAGCAACCACATGGTGGCTCACAACCATCTATAATGAGATCTGGTGCCCTCTTCTGGAGTGCAGATACACATGGAAGCAGAATGTTGTATATATAATAAATAAAATCTTAAAAAAAAAAAAAGAAGCCGTTCCTCCCCTGAGTTGCTTCTGATAGGTATTTTGTCATAGCAACAAGAAAAGCAACTAAAAGCACAGGATGCCATGACTCCTCGGCTCCATAAAGCCACCACTAGATTTAAGTGCACACCAGGCCTGCAGCTGAAGGGGTGGGGGTGACTGCAATGCTGCCTGGATACTGGCAGACATGTGCAGCAAATGCCAAGAGGTGGGCTGCAGCAACCAGATAGATAATTAATATGATTAGGAACACACAGAGCAAGCATGCTCTTGCCGAATGAAAAGCCTAGTAGCATAATTACTGTTTTCTTCCTCACTCACTGTCTATACACATTTCTAAGCCTGCCTGGTGTTAGGCTGCTGTGTAAACATCAATAAAATCCCAAAGTGCCAGATCATCAGCATTCTTGGGCACAATGGCTTTTCCTTTTTTGTGTTTTCATTCCTTCTAAGATGCATTTCAGCTTTGCAAACGTTAGTAACAATGATCTCCAGGCCTCAGTCTAATCTGAGTTTGTAATGAGTTAATATCTCTCCCTAGTGATTATTTATTACAAAGGATAATTAATTGCTTTCCAGTTACAAGAACCCTTTATAGCCAAAGAAAGTAGAATCCACAAACAAAGATATACTGTTTATTCAAACAAAGCAAGGGAAACAAAGGGCTTCTCTCTAAAATTTTCCGTATTTAACGAAGCTTTAATCTAAAATGAAATAACACGAATGCAAAAAAAAAAAAAAAAAAAAAAAAAGAAGGGGAAAATGGGAAAACAGGCAACAAAAACAAGGTGAAGATGGTACATCAGGCAACCAAATGCAACATGGATTAAAGTGAAAACTCAAGCAAAGCTTTGTAGTTGCCTGGGTGTCCCTAGGGGATGGCAAGTCAATGCTTATCAGCCGTCCTCAGAAGAGACAATTTTGATTAATATCAGACCCATCTGACTCAGTCTATTAAATCTATTAAACCCTGAAGGAAGGATGGTCTTCAGATATTAACGATAGGCTTTTGATTAATAATTCTACCCCTTTGCCATTCCAAGCATTAATGACCACGTGGTACCTCTGCAAAGCAAAAGCCTTTGATTCCAGGGAGACACCCGCTAAACACCTGGGTTCTCCCCCATTCTCACTCCTCCCAGGAGGAACCTAAGACATAAAGGTGCCACCACTGGAAAAGCAAACCCCAAGTTACGCAATTTACCTCATTATCCACAAAGTGGGGTCAATTACTTGTGACACAATTCCTGTTTGAAGGTAACAAAATCTTAGTAAATCTGACAAAAGCCTAAAGAGAGGGCAGGGGCTGGTGTTATGCTACCTGCCAGCGGAGTGCCGGCTCTGATGGTTCATACACAGCCCTCTGAGCACACTGTCTTTTGCCAACCAATGAGTCCCAAGAGGGGCCCAGACAGGCTGCCAGTGTCCCCTAGAGGCTCTGCACTGTGAGGCTGTCCCAGGGCTGTCAGATGGGTGGGAAGAAAGCCATTCTATCTCTGCTCTTTACTTCCAACTCTGGCCATCATGCTCACATCACATGTTCCTCTTGATGTTCATGATCAGCCTTTTGGCATAGTCTCTGTAGTCCACGGGCTTCACGTCCATCACAGTGGCCTTAATTCGAGATTCATCCTTTGAAAACAGAAAAGCCTTTTGTGAGTGGTACAGCCTGGCATGGAGCAGTGGAGATAACCTTCTTTGCTTCAGTAGCTTCAATGAGTCCAGCAGGAAGAAGGGACGTTTAGAAATTCCCATGGAGAAAGTACTGTGAATTCCTGGAGATGGGTCAGTAGCCAGATCCCCCTTCTACAGACCCTCTGCCCACCCTAGCATCCCACTGGAGTAGACGCTGGAGGGGGTCTCTCTAGTCTCTACTGTCTTTATATGGGTACAGTGGGAACCCAGAGCAGATAGGTAACTCACCCTGAAAGCTCACTTTCATCCAGAAAGAGCACCTGCAGCAGCAGGAAACCTGGCTGCTGTTCCAGCCCTGGGCAAGGTTACCTGCCTGCCCTTCGCCATCCCTGTCCACACCAGGAAGAGAGAACCCTACAGTCTCTCTTAACCCATCCATCTTCTTACACTATATCCCATTAACGTTCAGCTAACTATCAAAGAGCTATCACAGGCACTGAGCTGATGGTAGGTCAGAATGTGTAAACTTTAGTGGCTGCAGGGGAGCTGGCAGAAATCCCATTCAGCGTGTCTCCATCTCTGAGGCTGAACAGAGTGACACCCAGCAGCAAACAAATCTAGCTGGGGTTTGCCTACATCTTTCCATTGGTAAAAATGAGCAGTAAGAGCTCCAACACAGACGGTGCTATAAGGATCAACGAATAATAGGAGGACAGGAGCCAGGACAGTGGCTGTCCAGTAAATGTTGTTTATTAAACATCTATGCAGCTCTGTGACATTAGGACTAATTTAAGAGATACTTCTACCTGCATGTGGTTATTTGTTTAATATGCTGATTTTTAGAACCCAAATTGTGGGAAACAAGAGCCCCTACACATCATGTTTTCAAAGTACAGACATAATGAAAATTTCTTAAGGCTGTAATAGAAAAAGCCATACTATCTTCTCCCCAGAGATAGCAAACCTGAGTCAGCTTCCAAATCTGCACATAAGTTGGTAACAGCACCCCAGTGCAGGCAGATTCCACAAGCATGCATGCCACAGGTCTCAAACCTGTGGGTAATTCCCTGACACTAACACTGAAGTGCTGCTGTTCCCATCACAGCCCTTCTGCCCCAGTAACCGTACTTACGTTGTAGGTCTCCAGCTTGACCCTGATTCTGAATGTAAATGATCGGAAGTTGGCATTCTGGAAAACCTCTTCAAATGCCTGCTCGTTCTGTAAAAACAACACATGGCAACTACTGGAAAAGACCTATTAAACTGTTGGAAAGGCTGAGAAATTATCACCCCAGAGGGTTGAGATTTCTTAGGAATGACTAATTTGTAGGTGTTTCATCACATAAAACTGTTCAACTAGAATTTTATTAAAAATATGAACACTTTCCTTACGAGTACAGTTTTCCCTTCAGTATTTGCAGAGGACTGGACCTGGGACTGGGAACCCTACCTCCAGCGGACACCGAATTCCAAGGATACTCAAGTTCCTTATGTAAAATGGTTGCTTACACAGAATCCACGCACACCCTCCTTCCTGTATGCTGTAAATCATCAGTAGCTCACTTATAATACCAAATATAAATATCATGTGAGCTGACACGGACTGATAAGGAAACATAATCTGCACATGGTCAATAAACGTTCAATTTATCACCCAATAGTTTTGATCCCAGCTGCCTGTATGTGTGGAACTGAGAACAGACTCTATTAAATTCACAGAAGCAGAACCCTGGGTGCAGTGCTAGGGAAGGGAGGAATGGAGAACTGTTGCTTAAGGGCACAGAGCCTCAGGGTGGGAAAATGGAAATGTGCAATGATGGACAGAGGAGCCAGGGGCCTGAGACCTTGAATTTGGCTAATGCCACTATATTTCAAAATGGTTCTACCAGAAAAAAGAAAAACACATAATGGTATTTTTATGTTATTTTACCATGATCAAAAAATTTTAAATATTCTTAGGAAATGCATTTAAGATTTGGAATACTTAATGAGGGAAGAAACCTGAGACCCAGCATCTCATGGTAAAATGACTAAGTAGTTAGGAGAGGCTGGAGAGATGGCCTCGTGATTAAAATACATATTGTTCTTTTGAAGGACAGGAGTCTCCTTCCTGGAACCCTCATGGTGGCTTATAGTCATCTCTAACACCAGCTCTAGGGGATCCGATGCCCTCTCCTGGCCTCCTCGGGTACCAGGCAGGAAAGTGGTGCACATATATACATGCAGGTAAAACACTCATATACAAATAAAATAAAAATAGGTGAGTGGATGGGGTGGTGCATGCCTTTAATCCCAGCACTCAGGAGGCAGAGGCAGGCGGATCTCTGTGAGTTTGAGGCCAGCCTGGTCTACAAAGAGAGTTCCATGGGAGCCAGGACCATTACAGAGAAACCCTGCCCCGAAAACCAAAACAAATAAAATAAAACTTAGTAGGGCTGGGCCTGGTGCAGCTTTTAAGGCCAGCACTAGAGAGGCAGAGGCAGGAAGATCTCTGTGAGTTCCAGGGCTACATAGTCTCAAATTAAAAAAAAAAAATTAGTTAAAAAAACAAACAAACAAAAAAACCTAAAATAATTGGAAAAGTCTGGTGTAAGCTAGGCAAAGTGGCCATATCTGTAATCCCAGTCTTCTGGAGGCTAAGGCAAGAGGATTACAGTGAGCATGAAGCCAGCACCAGCTACATAGGCTGGCCTGGGCTACAGAGTGAGCTTAATCCTGGAGCCTCTGTATCTGTAGCTCCTGACATGCTGAGCAGGTAGATGAGTGGATGGAGTGGGCAGTGCCAGGAAAAGGCCGGAAGATGCCTTCCTTTTCTCACACTCCTCAGATGCTATCTGATTTAGTTACTTTATTGTAAGTTTTAAAAAAGCTGGCTTTTAGTTTGGGGGTGTGGTGGGTGATAAACTGGGATACTCAGCCCTCTCTCTCTTTTTTTTAAGATTTATTTATTTATTATGTATACAACATTCTGCCTCCATCTATGCTTGCATGCCAGAAGAGGGCACCATATCTCATTACAGATGGTTGTGAGCCACCATGTGGTTGCTGGGAATTGAACTCAGGACCTCTGGAAGAGTAGTCAGTGCTCTTAACCTCTGAGCCATCTCTCCAGCCCCCCCTCTTCTATTTTTAACTTTTGAGACAATGTTCATTAAGGTGCCCAGTTGGTCTTTAACTTGGCTTCCTCCTGCCTCAGACTGCTGAGGCATAAAATGCATGAACTTAAAACTTTACATAAAACTAATAATTCATATAGGCTAAGTACCCCTGTAGGTCACACGGGTATGAAAACAGACTTATCACCCAGACTTCTTTTATTTGAGAAAAGTCATTCCTTGGATTTTCAATATATAAACAAAATAATGTGCTAAATCTTCAAACCTTGAAACTGGATGCCATTACTCTTTAGAGCTAAGGGAAGCATGGATGCACACTCCCAGAGCACCATGGTTCCTGAGGGGAGTCCTGTATGCCCTCATTCACCAGCTAAGAACAGTCAACTATAATAAGCTCATAAAAATCCTGAAAGGCTGCCCGGAGCCTGCAAATCTGATATGAAAATAGAGGACCAGGCAAAAGAGATAAAAGACGATTGCACTTTAAAAGTCAATTCCAGTTATTTCTGTAAAAGGACGTTGTGGGACTATTTTCAGGGACCTCATGGATAATTTAAAAAGGAGTTGAGGGCAGAACCAAACAGAACTGAGGACAGAAAGAGTAAGAAAAGCACATCAAAACAAATGGCAATTCTTCTTTGTGGCCTTTGTAAGTATATAACCAATATGGAGGAATGGGGGGAAAAAAGGACACTGTATGTCGATAGATGTCAGTTTCCATGGCCTAGAAAGTACGGCTCTTACTATTCTTGGTTTTAACTCACCAAGTGTCTTTTTCTTATATTTGGCATAATCAGTAATCCATTCTCTCTCTCTCTCTCTTTTTTTTTTTTGGTTTTTCGAGACAGTTTCTCTGTGGCTTTGGAGGCTGTCCTGGAACTAGCTCTTGTAGACCAGGTTGGTCTCGAACTCACAGAGATCCACCTGAGTGCTGGGATTAAAGGCATGTGCCACCAACGCACGGCAACCCATTCTCTTAATGTATAAAAAGGCAAATTAGTAAAGGTGAAATTAGTAATTTTAAAAATGTGGGTTCCAGTCATCTCAAGAGTCCCAACACATACATGCACGCACGCGCACACACACGCGCGCACACACACACACACGCACACACACACACACACACACACACACACACACGGTCTTGCTATACAGTCCAGGCTAGCCCTGAACTCACTATGTAAACTAGCTTGGCCTGGAACTCTGGGTGATCCTCCTGCCTCAGCCCAAGTACTAGGACAACAGGCAGGGAGCATCACCATAGCATGTAAAGTGACTTTAATACAAAGTCACTTTGTAAGAACCCCATCTGACAGCCTGAAATTGCAAGTACCCCAGATGTGCACTATTCTAAGATCTGACTCAACGATTCTAAAAAGTGTTTATTGGTTAACAAAGCACACCGACAAGTTATTTCAGAAGACACCTTGCAGCTCTAGACTGCAGGCACACCAGCTCTGATGTGTAAAAAGGGTAGTGGGGACAAGGGTGGTGTGGCTTCTGCATACAGCTGCTTTATTCTCCTGTAGCATTACCCTTTGCTAGACACGCAGTACAACGAGGACTCATATACAACACCCAAAGAAGCAAGCAACAACAGCTCAGTGGCATAACACAAGCACTATCACAGTGCTAATAAACAAGTGCCAACCTTCTCTTTCAGTTCCCCAAGGTATGCAGTGTTCTGCCCAAGGATAGCCTCCGCAGACTCCTGGAAACATGTCACCCACTGATTCTCTTGAAAATCTGCAACATTTACCTAAAAAACACAACACGCTATTATTTTAGCAAATAACACCAAGGAGAAGGGAGATTACCTTTTCCTACTTAAAGTAACACAACCCCCGACTTTCAATGCTTTGACGGAACAGTTCCCCTCATATGAAGTATACCGTTTCAGTCATCATTTTTCATTTTTAGTACAGTATCCAATAAGTCACACAAGTTGCTCAGTACTTTTATCATAAAGCAGGCTTAGCTGTGCAAATGTTCTGAGCACACTGAAGGGATTCGGGGTTCAGCTAGGGCCCACTGTTAAGTGCAGGTGATGCTTTGCCCACCCCATCCCCCCATCCCCCCCCCCCCCCCAGGGTTTCCCGTGTGCTGGAACTCACAGAGATCCACCTGCCTCTGCCTCCCGAGTGCTGGGACTAAAGGCTTGTGCCACCACCGCCCGGCCACTTTGCCAGTCTTTTAAAAGCTGTGACAGATGCAATGGGAAGTTTCAAATGTGGTCTAGTTCAATCTTCTAGAGATGTGATTTCAGATCTAGGAGTCGTCTCAACTAAACCCTAACAGATGTGGAAGCATGCAGTTAACACTGTGCTCCCCTCTCTAAATGCAAAAGGCTTTGCACTGGAAGTTTCGAGTGAGCTTCCAGCAGTATAGTGGGCTCTTTTCATGTTATTTGACTTACTATTTATTCTTTCTCTCTCTCTCTCCACACCTGGCATCCTTTAGTTTTTTGAGACAGCATATAATGCAACCCAATCTGCCCTCAAACTTGCTATGTAGTCAAAGCGGGCCTTGAACTCTTCCTGCCTCCACACCCCACCACCAAGTGCGGAGAGTACAGAGACATATGCCACCATGTTCAGCTATTTTGTTTTTTAAAAAACAAAATCTTACTGTGCAGTCTAAACAGGCCCAACTTACAATCTCTCTGCCTCAGCCTCCCATGGACTGAGTTCACATTTACACATTTTTTTAAAAATTTACAGTGTGTGTTGTATTATGTGCATACAGGTGGAGGCCAGAGTTTGGCATAAAGTGTCTTCTACGGTTTCTGTCCACATTAACTTTTGAGACAGGGTCTCTCAGTGAACAGAGCTCAGCAACTGGATAGGCTGATGCCCAGTGAGCTCCAGGCCTAAGCCTGAGTTGCTTTACTTGGAAGTTGGGGATCTGAACTTAGGTCTTTACACTTGGGAGGCAGGAGCTTAAACCACTCTTAAAACACACTGCATGTGTACATTGGGGTTGTGCCTGCATTCATGTCTATGTGAGGACTCAGATTTCCTGGAACTGGAGTTTCAGATAGTTGTGAACTGCAGTGTGGGTGCTGGGAATTGAACCTGGGTTCTCTTAACTGCTAAGCTATCACTCCGCCCCACATTTTGAATTTAAAGAACTGCATGAGATGGTTCTAAGTCATTACTGAGCAACAGGTAATTTCAGAGCCAATGTAAAAAACCTTTAACCAGTCACCAAATCCACCAAGCAACAGAAACAAATCCCAGTGGATGTAAGGCTTAAATTACATTGGTGAGAGCCAAGAAAGTTTGCTGAGCCGGCTAGGCCAAGAGGCCAATGAGCCCCAAGAACTGAGTTCAATCCTCACCCTGGCACTATTACTACTTCACTGATAACCACCCACATCCCCAACCCTAAATTCTTTTTGCTTTATTTGTTTGTTTTTCTGAGACAGATTCTCTATGCAGCCCTGGTTGACCTGAACTCACTCTGTAGACCACATTGGCCTTGAACTCAGAGATCCCCTGTCTCTATCTCCCAAGTGCTAGGACTAAAGACATGCGCCACCATGGCCTGGCTGATTTTTGGTTTCATTCATTCATCCATTTCTGGGACTGGGTGTCTCTCATGTAGCCCAAGCTAGCCAGCTGGCCTTTAACTTGCTAAGTAGCTAAGGATGACAGACATGTGTCAGCCATTGAGCGACAACCTCGGCATAAAAGCTGTAAGTCCAAGGCCTTTACAATCTTCTACTCACTAAAGTGGCTAGTCACTAAAGGAAGTAACAAACAGAAGGGCATTTAAACTGACCCCAACTTTTCAGAGTAAACAACTTCACACAGCTGTAATACTGCTGATTAGTTCTTCAGAATAAATTCCCTGTAGGTGGCTTCTGCATTAGGAAATAGGAATACTTTTTTTTTTTTTTTTTTTTTTTTTTTTTTTTTTTTTTTGGTTTTTCGAGACAGGGTTTCTCTGTGTAGCTTTGCAGCCTATCCTGGCACTCACTCTGGAGACCAGGCTGGTCTCGAACTCACAGAGATCCACCTGCCTCTGCCTCCCGAGTGCTGGGATTAAAGGTGTGCGTCACCAACACCTGGCTTCAATAGGAACATTTTTAAGGTTTTGGACATATTCCTTACTGTCAAATCAAATCAAACCAAAGCAGAGTTTAAAAGAGTTACCATACTCTGGCACACTCCTCTCAAGTCAACTCATCTAAGGTCAACTGCCCCCCCCCCCAAAAAAAACCAGAGTATCCACAAGAAAACTAACACAGGCACTGGCTGTAGAGTTATAATTACTGCTTTCCAGAAATGCCATTTCATATTAATTTATCTCCACAACAGTGAGGAGGCTAGCACCACCAGCACGGTGACCACACAGCATCACAGATGAAAAAAAAGTTGCCCATTGGCGAGGGCATCAAGTTCTCAGGAGCATGAACACTGCAGGTCAGCCAGGGCACAGCCATTACCTCCTTATTTACAGAGTAGCAGCAAGCTCCCCAACACAATGCATCTGTGAGTTCCTTACTACCAACCACCTGGGCTCTACTGTTGCACCCCCCAGTGTCTTGTCCTTGTCAGCCAATCAGTGAACACCATAAAGCTTCTCGATAACCATTCTACTCACCGACAAGATCATGCGATATTTGAAGTTGGGGAATTCCCGGTCACACTTCTCACAGCGGTATAACCCATTCTGCTGGTCAATCACTTTCTTATTGCAGTCTTGGGTGGGGCAGGCCTGGTACATACAGTTCTCTTTGCGAAGGAACACCACCGTTGCCACTGTGCTGAAATAGTCCGCCTATGGGAGAAAAGTATCACAGAGGCCGGGATCAGCAAGCTACACTTGGGCCTGGAACAGGCTACTTGAAGCTGCTCTTACTTGCAAGTGGTAAGTGATGTGTATCCTAGTTCCCACACTCACAGACCGAATATGGAGAACTGTTCACTCTGTTTTCTACATGCAAACCCACAGCACTCAGCCCACCCCCCCACCCGCCACCCCGCAGGGTCTCACAAGCTAGCCTTGAACTCACAGAGATCTGCCTGCCTCTGTCTCTAGAGTGCTTAGCCACCACACCTGGACACATAATTCTTCTTTATTTATTAATTGTTTCATACGTGTATCTCTGCATATATGATGATCACATGCAAACTAATGCAGGCGAGCCTGCGCCACGGTGTGTTTGCGGAGGCCAGAGGACAACTTTCAGGTGTCAGTCCTCTCCTTCCACTGTGGCTCCAGGAACTCAAGTTTCCAAGACAGCAGGACCAGTGCCTTTAACAGCTAAGTCATCTTGCCAGCACATAATATTTGTAAAATGTATGTATCTAATGTGTGTATATGTGTTTCTGCATATGTATACACACTATGTATACACACAGCATGGGATGTGTGCAGGCCAGAGACAGCTTGTGGGAGCTGCTGGTCTTCCTTCACCACATGATCCTGGAGCCTGGACTCAGGCTGTCAGGCTTGGCGTCAGGGAGCCTTACACACTGAGTCACCTTGCTGGCCAAACACATAATCTTTTACAATGTCAGTGATTTCTAACCTTATTTTTAGGGATCAGGAAGCTTTTCCTGTGACAAGCCAGAGGAAAACTTTAGTCCCAAGAACTCATTTAGTCAGTCTCTACTGCCGCTCCTCAGCCTGCTGCTGTGGGGCAAGACAAACCCCAGACAATGTGAAGATGGAGGATGATCCAATAAAATATATTTTTGAGACAGGGCTTCTCTGTGTAGCCCTGGCTGTCCTGAACTTGCTCTGGAGACCAGGCTGACCTCGTACTCACAGATCCACCTGCCTCTACTGTGGAGTGCTGGGATTAAAGTCGAGAACCATCACTGCTCAGATGGTTCTCAGTAAACTTTTACTGACAACATCAGACAGCAAGTTCACAGTCTTGACCAGCAACAACTCCTGGACTGAATAAAGTTCAAGAGAATGCCAAAGTACCCACGACGACAACCATGTAAACAGTAGTCTCTGCTAAGTAACCTAGGAGGACTAAGTCATGTTAAGGGTTCTGAGTGGATCCGCTTTACCTCTGTACCCAACACACAAGTTTTCAGGACTCTGTGTTTTCAGTTTATGTTCAGTGGTCAAGTAACTGCAGAATCCAGGAATACCCTGAATTCAGAGCTAGGCTATCAAAACCATTGGGCCTTTTTAATTAGCCCTGGCTATGCAGAAACTCTCTATACAGACTAGGCTGGCCTCAAACTCACAGAGACCCACTTGCCTCTGCTGCCCAAGTGTTGGGATTAAGGGCATTTGCCATCATGCCTGGCTCACACTGGGTCTACTTGATGTCTCAGACCAGAGGTGCAAAACAATGTGGTCATTTAAAAAGACTATGCTAGTACCCAGTTTAGACAGCTTTAGGGCTGGGTGTGTAGCTCAGTGGAAGAGCTTGACTGGCATGCACGAGGAGCTGGGTTTAACCCTCAGCTCCACAGAACTGAGTACATAAGAAGGCTTGGGGTGGCTGGGTGGGGAGATGGATCCACTGTTAAGAACACTGGTTGCTTTTGCAGAGGAACCAAATTCAGCTCCCCAGCACCCACATGGTGGCTGTTCCAGGGGATCTGATGCCTTCTTCTGACCTCCTCAGACACCAGTCACTCATTTGGTTTGTGTCATATGTTACTTGACCACTGAACATAAACTGAAAACACAGAGTCCTGAAAACTTGTGTGTTGGGTCCAGCTGGGTCCAGGGAGAACATTAATACACATAAAATAAAAACATTAAAAAGAAAGCAAGCTGGGGCCAATATGCCAGCTCATGGGGGAAAGCGCTTGCTGTCAGGCCGGATGACCTGAGCCTGGTCCCTGGGACTCACAGGGAGAGCTCAGTTTGAATTCCATACACTGCAGTGGAAAATGCAAATGAAAAATGACTTTAAAAATTGTGAGGAAAAAGCTGTAGAGAGCTAAACCTTAGAATGCCTAAAGAGTTTCTCTCTATTTCCAGGTAAGATGCAGACTTGAAGCCTGATTTAACAGTGTATGCTCAGTTCTGACTGCATACTGTCTATCTTTAGTTTAAGAGAGCAACTGGCTGACAAAAGAAACAGAATCCAACCAATGTTTAATTCTCAAGATGTTCTATAATAGTATTATAAGTTGCTGTGGATGACAATGATGGATCGAGTGCACAGTGAAATGAGACAGTAAGGAAGAAAACCTATATTGTATATGATGACAATAAAGGAGCCGCAGCAAGTGATGCTTAGGGAGCACAATAGAAATAAATGATTCAAATATCCAGCAGAACACAGGTTAGGCCAAGGGAGGAACACTGAAACAGAAAGCTGTAACTAAAGTCAAATACCAGTCCTTGGCAGGATAGCAGCTGCTCTCCATCTACAACTCAGGCTCAAACCCACAGGAGCTGCCTGATGCTTGACAGCCTGACACTGATGCTCTGCTCAGACACTAACATGAACCCGAGGCCAGTTCACACTACACTGCAGAGCCTGGTCACCACCATTTCCGCAGTATCCAGAAACTTGTCACACTTTTCTACTTCACACGAGAGGCCACAACACACCCTTCAACACACACAGCCTCTATACTGGCAGTGACAGAGACACCAACAACAAGAAGCAGTAACTGGCGCTCTGGCACAGGGCTCTGGGATCCCAGATGAGAACACAGCCCTGAACTAGCACCTGAAAGCAGATTTAAACACTCAACCATCTAGCGCTTTCTAGGCTTCTGTGAAGTAAGACGTGAGGTACCTTGTCACCCTGGCCCAAGTTCTCCGATTTAGCCTCATACAAAGTTTTCCAGTTGGTGTTGTTCCCTCCAGCGCCTCCACTCCTGAGGTCAGAGATGGAAACACCATCTAAGGCTTGTCCTTCTGAGTCGAACCTAAAAAACAAAACAAAAGCAATGGTGACAGGAACTTTGCATCCTTCTCAAATGTGCTGTTTGGATATACCAGCCACGAGCTCTGTCACTACCGGGTCCCATCTGGGTCCCAGCACACCTGAAGAATTACAATGGCCTTTCTTTTGACCTCATTTGTTTTGACCTCCACTCCCACATGACCCCATGGTCAAGACAAACAATGCCCAAATACCACAGACCCCCTGCCCCAAACTGGGCTGCATATTAAAAAAAAAAAAGCAGTGAACAGAGTCAGCAACAGAAGGCCACCCTGGCGCAGTCCCCCAGGCTTCGAGCCTTTACCTCAATCACTGAAATGAATCAGATGAAAAGGGACATTTTTGTTTCATGAGTCAGCCAAAAATGTTTTCATGGTAGAAAATCTTTTAAGCCTAATCAGTTGTAGAATTCAACATACTTCATCAGAAGGCATTATCTGCTGTGTTAGATATTTGCTTTCTCAGTGGGAATTTATTTATGCAAACATCAAGGTTAAGTCATTTATATGAAATTATTATTAAAACTGATTACACCTCTTGACCAGCTATTGGCTAATCCAAAGGAAAAGAGGCCAGGGAGAAGGTAGCAAGAACATGCAGTGGCGGAGAGTGGTGGGCTTGAGATTAAAAACATGAGCTGGCTGTAGTGAGTGGTGAACGTCTTTAGTCCCAGCCTTTGGGAGGCAGAGGTGGGTGCACCTCTGAGTTCGAGGCCAGCCTGGTCTACAGAGTGAGTTCCAGGCCAGCCAGGGATACACAGAAAAGCCCTTTCTCAAATAAATGAACAAACAAACACAAACATATCAAACACCCAAGTGGTAGGTAATTAAATGTTAACCACATACAGGACTGACTCCCTAAAAAGAGAGCACTCAACAGAGTGGCTGCTGCCCTAGGCCACATTGTGTCAGGTGAACAGCTACATCCGTCATAGAGGATAGAGTTCATAATTGGTTTTACCACTAAAAACTGTGAAGTTTATGGCTTCAAAAACTTCATGCAGACATTTGCCACAAAGATAGCTCATCAAGAATCAACAGAGCAAGGAGACAGGAGCCCTTCTTATAATAAAAATTCCACCCTGTTAGTGGCAAGATCTAAACTTCCGATAATCCTTGCCTGGGTGGGGTGTGTGCACTGAACCTGTCCTAGATCAATGACAGGACCTTTTGTTCAGGGGACATACATGCCTCTTTGTGTTTTCTGCGATCAGTTACTGACAGTGAAATATGAACACCTTACTGTGGGCATGCAATTAACCTGGAGTTGTGCTCAGAGCCTGGAAGAAAATCAACCAACAAAAACAAACCAAAGACACGATTGTTTCTAGTTAAACTACTATGGGATTCTGTCATATGATGCAATACTAGCTATCAGCACCGTTAAATAGATGGATGCAGGCTACTCGAGAGGGTGGCTTAAGCAATACAGACATTCTAGGAGATATTCTATCAAATTATTAAAATATCACTGTTACTGGAGTATATCAGATTCAAAACAAAAATGAGGAGTATAAAATGAGCTATTTCTTGAATCCCCTAAACTCTAAGCCATAGCTGGAAACCACACATGCCCCCTGTGACTACAGCTACACAAATGACTTAAGCTTGAGCTGGGTAAAGTCTTTTCTTTGCCCACATCAATTCTTCCACACTACATTCTCAGGATGAAGTGCTCTTCTAAGGCAGAGTTTTAATGCCTTAAAAAAAAAAAAAAAGCTAGATACGGTGTGGGGATCTTAACAAGCTCTCCTGTCTCTTGAGTGCTTCGAGAATAACGATGTAATGCCAACAAAAAGCCCATTGTTCCCACCATGCTTTGACAGAGGTGAGTGAATACACACCAGAAGAGGTGACCAGCTCCCGAGACTCCAGAGTGAGAAAGTACATTTTACCCCCACATCAGCTGCCCACAGCTCAAACTTAGGAGCAAAAGATGCTCTCAACACATTCTTTTAGCACGCAGCTGTTAAAGCCTTGCTGTTGGGGGGAGTGGAGTAGTGGTGGTGGTGGTGGTGGGGATCAGGGTCAGCATGCACACTTCACTTACATTCTAATTGCTTTCTCTGACTCTCTAGGTTCATCAGGGGATTAAGTTGGTCAGCTTAAGGGCTTTCAGGCCACCATCTCAGAAGGCGTAAGGCCTCCGAGAAATGAAGGAACCACTCCAATCAATAACAAAGTTTCGGCAGAAGCTCAGATGCTGATGGAAACTAGCTCTTCTCAAGGCCTGAGCACAAGTAACCGCTTAGCCGAGGCCCATAAAACCTACCATCCACGGAGCTTATAGGCCTCTGGGATGTCAGGATTCACAATGATAGTGCTAGATGACAGGACAGAGAGGCTCCGCCCACCAAAGTCGGAGACCCGGGCTCCTTTGATAGCCATCACAGGCTGCCTAGAACCATCAAACTTGTCGGCCTGCAAAGCAAATGCACACAAGCATCACTGGCTGGAAGAAGGTACAGGGTGTGTTTATGGAGAAGAGGCAGCAGTAGAGTGAATACTGTCAACGTGTGTGGACTCTATGCACGACAGACCTAACATTAACGAAACCACTCAGCCTTCCCGGAAACCAATCTGTCTCCACCTTCCTGAGGTAGAGTAAGGGACAGTCCACCATGGGAAGCTAAAGTAACTGATCATCTCACATAAGTGCTAGACAGACCAACTCTGTCCCTCCGGTGCTCAGAAGGACAAGCACCCCACCCACAGACTGTCAATGCAAGGACTCACGTCTTCTCCCCACAGAGTTGCAGTCACCACTTTCCCTGACATATCCATCAGATAAATATTTCTCTTAGCAACTTCTCTGTTGCTAGACTTCACTGTGATTTTTGTTGAATCTTCATAGCTCTTGCAGATCCCGATTATGTCTGAAACACAGAACAAGCTGTAACAGCACAGATCAAGGCCCCTCTTAAAACATAACCAAGCGATGCATGGCAAGTGTGGTAGTTGTGCACCACACTGGAGACACAATCACCACTGTCCTCAAACCTGAACGGACCTACAAGTGAGTCTTTAGACTTGCTCTCTAGGTCACTGATCCCTGTGAAATCAAACTGAACTGTGGGTAAGTGATGGCCATCTTCACAGGGAAGTACAGAAGTCTCATTATTGAAAGTCATCTCGTAGTCATTTTTAACAGCTGAGAATTGCTTGTTAGCGATCTTCAGAGTGCCCTTTGAGAAATAATACACCTGCAAAAGAGGCCAAGTCAAGAAATGCTAGTCAGCCCATCAAAACCCTTCCCCACAATGCAACCTGCCGATTGCGCTCACAGCACTTACTGGCCAGCTTCTCGGCTCTGACTTAACTTGGTCTTACCTTGTTCACTTCAATAAGGGGAAAGAACTTGTCCACCTGCTCATTGAAAGCAGTTGCTCTGATTTCACCCTGCAAAAGCAAGTGAGAGCACATGAGAACTGCACTGCTAGACACCTACTCTGAACAGTGGAAGCCGTCCATTTTGGCATCAAAATAACATCTTTGGAGCAGCACTACAAGTGTAAAGAGGTCCCAGAGGGCTGCAGACATTCCAGAAACCTACATATACTTTCAAGCTATCAATTCTGATAAAACAAGAGAAATTCAACTAGCCAAGCCCATAGGTATGACTGAATCATCTAAGTTAAAAATGTAAAATAAGGAGGCTGGAGAGACGGTTCAGTAGATAAAGGCACTTTTCCGGGCAAGCCCAGTCATCCAGTTTAATCCTCAGAAACCATGTAAAGGTGGAAGACCACCAAGCTGTTCTCTAGCCTTTACACATGTATGCGAACAAACACAAACTAAAATAATTTTTAAAACGTTATCTAAAACATTTTTAAAAGGAAGCATTTAATATTCCAGTAATGAAAACAAAAAGTTCTGGCTCCTGAGTGGCAGGCTCAAACCCACGGGAAAGCATGCTGAACCCCAATGATTCAGCAGTCTTCCTCATGCCTGCAACCTAAATGATGGGTTACTTCACAGTCAGGAGCCGTTGCCAAAAATGCTCTAACAAGTCATGCTTTCAAGTTGCTTGAGATTTGATTTCACTGCTACTCTTCTTTGTCAGGCAATGTGTTAGTGATGGGTAAGAAAGTTAACTAAATGGTTGAAATCTTACCCAGACAACCTGCAGGAAGTTAGTTTTGGATACTGAATCTGCCACCACAGTTAAGACATTTGCCACGCTACACCATAAGAGGAAGAGGCAGGGGAAGAAAGATTAAGTTCTGACCTCACCAGTATCATTTTGTTATTTTTGTATGTATGGGTGTTGTGCCAGAAGGGAGGCCAGGAGAGAGTGCTAGATTCCTGGAACTGGGGTCACAAATGGTTAAGAGCCACCATGTGGGTGCTGGGAATTGAACTCATATCCTCTGGAAGAACATCTCTCCAGCCCCTGCATCTTGCTTTAAGTAAAGCATAATGAGTATATATGGTCAGAAACCATCCCCACAAAGCAGTTAAAGCTGAGTAACTGTTGCCCACCTTCTGCTGGAGGCAAATGCACCACTCTTTAGCAAGGATCACATTCCAGGACTTCAATTAAGCCTCTAGCAACGTAACTGGAGTGCTGCAGTCTACAAAAGCTCTCCTTTAGGAGTATTTTATCTGATGTTTATCCTTCTCCTTCAGATAGTACCAAAAATCTACAACAGTCAGGTGGTGGTGTTGGTGGCACTGGTAATGCACGTCTATAATCCCAGCGCTTGGGAGGCAGAGGCAGATAGATTTCTGAATTCAAGAGACAGCTTGGTCTACAGCAGCTAGTTCTAGGATAGCCAGGGTTGCACAGAGAAACCCTGCCTTGAAAAACAAACTAACAAACAAAAAACTACAATAGATGGAAATCCACAGTGACAACCATATTTCTTTCTGTTGAACTGATATTTGCCACTGCATGGACCTCAGAGCTGAGCCCAAGTCTTGGAGGCCAACACCTTCCCATGTGGCAAATACTCACACTTTCATCTACAAGTTCTATAGAGAAAAGTTTCCCTTCCCCTCGGGAATTGCTCCAGGTACGGATCTGACTTTTGTTGGTGACACGGGCACAAATAGTCCACCTAGAAAGCAAACAGACAACGTTAGCATGTGTAGCCTTTCTTACTGGGAGTAAAGATAAGCAGAAACCATTTTCCTGTGGCCTTTCTTCTCTCATGCAGAGTTTATCTGTCAATGCTAGCTGTATTTTAATCCAGCTAATTAAAACCCCAAGAAGACATACAGGTTTGACAGTTTACAGAATAAGCAAACAGTAAAATATATCAGGTAGTTTAACACTAACTCATTCTGTCAAATAAGTAAATTTATAAAAGCTCTTCCTTCCTTAAAAAACATCACCAAGGCAACAATATCCCTTTAATGAAAGGTTCCAAGGGAAAAAAATGCAGTTATACTAGCAATTATATTTCGCCACTATTTTCAATTGCAGGAACCGACATAATCACTATCAAATGTCTGCTTCATTTCTAATGCATGCCAAATATAAACACAGGCCTATAAAGCATGGCACTCATGGGCCACCAAAAGAAAGCACTCCTAGAGAGAGACTACTAAAAAAGGAGTCGCCAAACTCGAAACCCTAGTGCCCATCTTGAAAACAGAATTTGAACACACTGATTTCCTTACTTAGAATTTTACAGGAGAAATTATCTCCCATATTTTACCAAGTATTGCAGAATAAATAAGAACCTACCTTAAAGAATTCTGGAGGGAATAAAAAAAGCCGCTAATGTTCAATGCTTTAATTAACTTTTAATGGAAAAAGTAGTATCAAAGAAATCCATGTTTGGGGCAAATTAATGTGGCTAAAACAAATAGGACAGATTATCTTAGCCAAATTAAATCATAGAAACAAGTTTTGGACTAAAAGTCATCTATTTATTTGTGATAAAATGTGAATTAGCACAAATGTGTACACACACACACACACACACACACACACATAAATATATAATTCCTAAGCCTATCAAATGATTCTTAATCTATAAATAACTTAAACTTCAAATTTTACAAAAATGACAAACCCTCCATAGGCTATGGCAGACCGCTATTTTTAGCCTTTTTTTTTTTAAATAAAAGTGTTAAAGGTTGTCACAATTTGTATACTTTAGCTCAAAAAAATAAAAAAGACATCCTATGTGGCAGTGACCCAGAAGTTTACACAGAAGTCCATAAGAGCACAAGGTTAACTTCCTAGACCATTTGGTAATGGGTCCCACCCTTGCCCTATGTGACGACTCACTTGGACTGGTAAGGGGTTAGGCTGGCAATGGGTACCACTTTGGACTGTGTCCCTCCTGAAGGCTGCAGCAGGCCAGTTCCAGCAGGTTTTCCAAATGGCTTTGAGGCACCATAAGCCTTAGCCACAGTAGAACCTGTATAAACACATAAAAAAAGGGGCAATCATTTCATTTTTATTTCTTGACGTGTAGTGTGTTTGTGTGTGAGTGCACAGGTGCACATGCTATGGCATGAATGTGGAGGTCAGATGATAATTTCAAAAAATCTAACTTTGTTGTTTCTCCACTGCATGTGCCAAGTGAGCAGCCCACAGGCTTCCAGGGATTGCTTGTCTCCACCTCTGATCTCCCAAGGGCACTGTCAATAGAGATGCTCTCAATACTACATTTGGCTTTTATGTGGGCACTCAGGATTTGAACTCAGGTCTTCATCGTTGTGAAGCAAGTGCTTTCATTCACTAAGTCATTTCCCCTGTCAGACAACCATTATTTTAGTTGCTTAAAATTAATTCTCATTATGGCCATGCCACAGGAAAGGACAGAAGTTAAGGAGCCAGGAAAGGACATCTATCACCAATGTGTCATCTCAACACTGCCACAGGGTAGGAAAGTCTAGAATGAAATCTATAGAGCAGTGCTCAGTTGGGAACAGAGACTAAGAGCCAATTTTTGGGTAGCCTAGTACTGTGACCTCCTCGCTTCTCTTTGCCAAGCTCCACAGCTGTCCTTCATGCAGCAGGAGAACAATCAAGGTCTGTTGACCAATGAGATCCTTTCTATCTATGAACACTATTTTTTTTTTAAGATTTTATTTATTATGTATACAACATTCTGCTTCCATGTATATCTGCACACCAGAAGAGGGCACCAGATCTCATAACGGATGGTTGTGAGCCACCACATGGTTACTGGGAATTGAACTCAGGACCTCTGGAAGAGCAGCCGGTGCTCTTAACCTCTGAGCCATCTCTCCAGCCCCTCTATGAACACTATAGAGATCTTCCTGCCTCTATGAGTTCAAGACCAGCCTGGTCTACAAGAGCTAGTTCCAGGACACCCTCCAAAGCTACAGAGAGAAACCCTGTCTTTTTTTTTTTTTTTTTTTTTTTTCCCCCAGAGGGACCCCCCTGCCTCTGCCTCCCGAGTGCTGGGATTAAAGGCGTGTGGCACCAACGCCCGGCTTGAGAAACAATGTCTTGAAAAACAAAACCAAACAGAATGTATTCTACTATCTCCTTCAGCCATTTACTGTGTCAGAGAGGAGAATAAATGTAACTTATGGAGATGGGTAGATGAGAGTTAGCCTATTACACGGATGGATTAAAAACAATGTGGACTGATGGGGAAACTTTATGTGCTGAAAGTCTCATGGAAACTTAATGACATCTGAACTCTACTTTCCTTAGGAACTTGCATTAAAAAAAGGGGGGAGAGGGGAGACTGGAGAGATGGCTCAATAGATCCAAGTGCTTGTCACCAACCCTGGAGACCTAAGTTCAATCCCCAGGACACACAACTGACTCCAGCAAGTTGTCTTCTGGTCTCCACCTAAACACTGGCACTCGCAGGCACAATAAACAAACAACCAAATAAATCTTATATATAATTAAAATATAAAGAGTTGAGAAGGGAGAAGGCAGTATGATGTGGTAATAAAAACCAGTAATAACAAATCTCTAAAAAGGAAGTTTAGCCATCATCTATAGATCGGTTTCCAAGGGTGGCATCCCAGGTGAAGAGGTCCCTAAAAAGAAAGGCCAGGAAGTACACCAAATGACCGCAACAAGATCTGCTATGGTAAAAGTTAAAAGAAGAGAGAGGGCTGGAGAGATGGCTCAGAGGTTAAGAGCACTGACTGTTCTTCTAGAGGTCCTGGGTTTAATTCCCAGCAACCACAGGGTGGCTCACAACCACCTTGAATGAGATCTGGTGCCATGCAGGCACAAGACTGTATATATAATAAATAAATAAAATTACAAAAAAAAGGGGGGGGGAAGAAGAGAGAAAAAATAGAAGCCATTGCCAACAGGAACAATTTTGTCTCAAGGGAAATGATAAAACCCTATGAAAGCCTCAAATGAGAAACTTGGAGAGACAAGCCAAATTTAACAAATGGATGGTAGGTCCTAAAAAGGTAAGAATTTAGCTGGAATTATTCTTTGCAATCTACCATGAATGGAAATGGAATTTTCTTTTCCTTTCCTTTCCTTTCCTTTCCCTTCCTTTTCTCCCTCCCTTCTTTCCTTTCTCCTGTAACTCAGGCTGGCCTTGACTTGCTATGTAGTGGAGAATGACCTTGAGCTTCTGATCCCCCCTGCTTCTACTGCCAAGTGCTGGCCTAGGCTACTGTGCCTAAACCATGAAGAGAATTTTGAAAACTGTTCAGTTTCAGAGTAAATTATTATTATTATTATTTTGGTTTTCTGAGACAGGGTTTCTTTGTGTAGCTTTGGAGCCTATCCTGGCACTCGCTCTGGAGACCAGGCTGGCCTCGATCTCACTCTGCCTCCCGAGTGCTTGGATTAAAGGTGTGCGCCACCAATACCCAGCTATTATTATTATTATTTTTGGTGGTTCAAGACAGGGTTCTCTTTGTAACCTTGGCTGGCCTCAAACTCACAAAGATCCACCTGCCTCTGCCTCTGATTGCTGGAATTAAAAGTGTGTGCCACCACTACCTGGCTCAAAGTAAATTTTTAAAAATTCTTTTGATCTTGATCCATCACTCCTGATGATACTCTTGAGTAACAACTTACCCATTCCCAAGCTCCCACTCTGCAGCTGGGGCTTGCTGACTGGTGGTGTGGCTGCTGAGGTTGGGGAAGGGACTGCTTGTTGCTGTTGCTGTTGCTGCTGCCCATGTCCTGGAAATCAAAAGAAAGGCCGTTTCAGTGCAAACCCAGTCAAGAGATTTCAATGTAAGTGCTCTAAGAAGCCCCACTCTGTTAGCTCTTAGGGGGTCAGAATGCACATCTGGTGCCCAGCCGCACACCAGACATTTGCAACGGGCTTGCTTTTTTGTCTGTGTATAGTAAAGGTTGTTTACATTTACCTTTTAACTGTTTAGAACTGACAGCTTTCAGTTTTAATGAGGTTCTCCCTAAAGCCTTGCCCATTTCTCCAGCAAGAACCTGAAGTAAAGTCACCGGGCTGAATCTGGGATACCACCACTATTTCCATAGCAACAAATTGATGTCATCAACAGGACTGGGTATTCATGGCAGGATCCATCAGAAGAGAAAGCTGGGTGGTAAGGAAGCCTAAAAGCAGCTCAATTGTCCCTCAAGTGCTTCAGCTTCAAAGAAAAAGGAGACGCTCAGAAAGGATTCTACCCTTTCCCCCAGACAAAGCAACCTTATTTTGCAACTGACAGCTGGTGGAAAATATGAGTTGAAAGAGTTGCAGGTACCGTGAAGTGCTAGTGAACTGTCACAGCAGGGAGAGATGAGAACAGAGTTCAGAGGCAGTCGTGTCAAGGCAACGGGGAGATAAAAAGGAGGGGAAATGAACATGTCTCTCAAGCAGAAAATAAGAAACATCATGCCGTGAGAGTATGTATTTGCCCTTCACCCTTTATACAAATGTTTATGAAGTTGAAGAACACTAAAATTGTAAATTCCATACCCCTATGTTTTAAAATTTATGGAGTTGGAATTCATTTCTGTGATTGGCACTGAAGGCCAAAGTCAGTCTCATTTGGGCCACTCACCCAGAGCACCTGCCTGTCTGCAGCTTATGAGGGCAGCTAAAAGATACACCCAGAATGCCCTGAAATATTTAAGATGGTGAGCACAGGTGGGAATCTCTCCCTACACCGTGTCTATGCCTTCTCCAACTGGTGCTGGGCTTCCCAAGGTCCAAACTCACCAGGCATGTTACACACCCATTTAGTTCATTTTTGTCAAAATTAGTCTTAAGTGGCACAGGGAAATGAGATGTAATTGTGCCATTAGAGACAAATATGTTTAGCATAAAGTTTAAAAGATTAAATAGAACTGATTATGTTTTCTTTCTTCCTATGGAGAGAAAACTTGAGATACCTTATTTACATAGGAAAAGGGCACAGGCTAACTGACAGTGAAACTTTGAGCTTACAGTTTAGTCTTTCCATTATCCTAGGATTTATAGCCATAAGATATCGAGCTTGGGAAAACCATGTGTGTGACAATCCATCTTGTGAGAAACACTTAGAAATTTTTTTTTTTTGGAGACAGGTTTTTTTCTATGTAGTCCTGGAACTTGCTCTTTAGTCCAGCAAGCCTGCCTCCACCCCCAGAGTGCTGTGTTTAGAGGTTTTCGCCCCTACCACCTAATCCAGTTGTAACGTCATAAATGAACCCTTTTAAAATCAGCAGGGAGAAGAGACGTTGCTCAGTAAACAACATTGAAGGAAATTGGTTAGAAAAAAGTGTATGTTTACCTGTACCATAAGACATATTTTTAAAAGTGACCGCCTATCCTCCAGCTAAATTCTCTCCTTTAAAAATATTTACTTGTGTGTGCACCTCATGGCTGTGCTTGCACCTGTGTGGAGGTCAGAGGACATCTTGAGGGAGTCAGTTCTCTCCTTCCACTATGTGAGTCCTAGGGATGGAACAAAGGCCATCAGACTTGGGGACATTTCACTGGCCACTCCTTTTCTACAGTCTCTACGATAGATAAAGTAGGCAATCCCATTTTCAGAGCCATGTCTGCTGCTGTCTACATCTGACTGAGCTGGACCGTCACTGGACACACATTCATTTCCATAAAAAGATAGATGAGGACCGAGGACTGAGGGGACAGCTCGGTTGGTAGAGCGGGTATAAAGATTAGTTTAATCCCTGGATAGGGGTGTTGGAGAGTAAAGATAGACTAGGGAGGCAGAGACAGGCAGATTCCCAGAGCTCACTAGTCAGCTACTCCAACTGATGAACCAGGTTCAGTGAGAAGGCTATCTCAGAAAATAGGATGGGGAGCGACCAAGAAAACACCCGACATGGATCTTTGGCTTCCCCACACATGCATGTACACAGATGTATATGCTAAGATAATTGCAGCTCAGAAGGACTGTAGAACACTCTAAGTCAGAGACAGAAGGTAAAATAGAGTAACCAGAGACAGGAGTGCTGGGTACACCTGCAGCTCCTCTTGGGGAAGATTAAGATCACTGTGCTGTGCATGTAAAAATGGTCAGCTGCAGTGGCACCCGCATGTAACCACAGATACTCAGGCAAGACAATCATTTTAAGCTGGAGTTCTAGGCCAGCACACGTAACAATGATTAGACCCCCCCCCCCCACATCTCAAAGTTAAACAGTGTTTATTTTACTATAATTAAAAAAAATAGACAACACATATACCTATTCTAACATGTACATTTTTATATGAATTTCATATTACAACTTTTAGCTGACCATAATACAATGATAGTCTTAGATTCAATGAAGTATGCTATATAACTAACAGATCTCCAACTGATAATTACTTGAGGTTGAGATACTCAGTTGGTAGAGTACCTGCCTAGCATGCACTAGGTGGTGCATCGCCTGTAATCCAGCACTCAGCGGGCAGAGGTAGGTGGACCCGAAATTCAAAGTGCTCCTCCTCAGTTACACAATGAGGCCAGTCTGGGAAACATGAGACAATAGTAACAAACAACAACTACTACTACTGCTACTGTTTTTCTGAGTGTTTACTCTGGACCAGGGGCAAGGATTAAGTCCACCATTGCAGTAACTGTCAGTAGTATGATGGGAGACAGTACTACATCCTTTAACATGGCAGAGGAGAGAGAAGCTAGTATTACTTAGCTCTGTCTAACTTCATGTACTTCACCATCATGTGGCTAATTTGTAAACAACTAATCTGGCAACAATAACTCTAATTATATAGATCATAAGATGTGGTAATTAGGAAAAGTTACTAATCCACTTAATAGAGTAACCTTTATCTCTTGCAAATCTGGTACAAGAGTCAGCCCTGAACCAAATGATGGCACACATTCCAGAGCATTCTAAATAGCAACAATTGCGCTTCTATTAAGGCACTGCAATGCAGCGGCTGCCCACAAGACCTCAAATAAATCAGTCCATAGCTAAGGAAGAAATCTCTCTAAAAGCCAAAATGATTCTGCAAAGCAGTAATGTATACTTCATTTATAATAACTTCTTTTGTGCCATCTGCAAATCAAGCCATTCCAGTAGGCTAGATCAACATAGTAATTCTTCAGCTCTCTAGCTCTGGCTGGCTACACACTGGCTCTGAGCCAGAAGGGAAGCAGGAGCTGAGAGCAGACTCCTGCTCCTTGGGTGACCGGCATTAATGCCTATCATTTTTACTATCTATTATGGCAAGTGAGCTGTGGGCAGAGGAAAATTCACAAACAAACCTACCAACTTCCCAAGCAAGTACTTTCTTAACAAATACAAAGAATAAACAGAGCCCCTCCACAGTGAGTCATGGCACTTGGGAGGCAGAGGCAGACAGATCTC